CTTCACAGAACAAATCCCTTTGATAAAAGGATTTGTTCTGTAAAAGTTGGATTCAGGCAAAAGACTGCACCCAAGGACCTGAAGGCCACATGTGGCCTCAAGGCCGCAGGTTCCCCACCCCTGCTAGAAAATAGATCCTTTAGAAACCTTGGCTTTACAGAATAATAACTTTAGGCTATACTCTGTCCTACCCTCCCTTTTTAAACTTGTACGTAGGACCTAAAGGAGAATTTGATTCTGAGCCTGTGTTAGACTCTATCTCATTTAAATGTTGAAAAGGGACTGATGTCCACCTAAGATATCCTCAGATGGATCTGGGTTCTCATAGACATGGATGTTTCTTCCAGTGATGCAGATCTAAGCCCATCCGTGGCTGCCCATAGTCTCACCCTTGTCCATGTACCCTGTAAATTTGACAATGGGAATCCACCCAATGTGGATTTTTCTTGACCTCACAAGGATGCTCAATAGAGAACAAGGATGTCCATCTTTTAGCACATATGACCAGGCTTTGTACTTAAATTTCTTTGATAACATCCTTTGCTCTGGTTCTTCTTTGGAATTCCTTACTTGTGGCATGGAATTAAAAAGTGCTTCTCTTATCTTAGTAGTTAAGACTGCTCAAAGTTTTAGTTAAAAAACACAACCGGTGCCAAGCATAGTGGCAGACACATGTAATAGCTGTCACTGGGGGAGGCTAAGGCTAGTGGATTGCTTAAAGTTCCAGGGGTGGAGAACCTGTGGCCTTGAGGCCACATGTGACCTTATAGGTCTTTGGGTGCAGCCCTTTGACTGAGTCCAAGTTTTATAGAACAAATCCTTTCATCAAGGGGATTTGTTCTGTGAAGTTTGGATTCAGTCAAAGGGCTGCACTTGAGGACCTAGAGGGCCACATGTGGCCTCAAGGCCACAGGTTCCCCACCCCTCGGCCAAACTCAAGAGTTCTGAGCTGCAGTTGGGCTAAAGCCAATCAGGTGTCCCCATTAAATCTAGAAGCAATATGGTAAGCCCCCAGGAGCAGGTGCTAGGGGCACCAGGCTGCCTAAGGGAGAAGGGAACTGGTCATGTTGGAAATAGAGTGGGTCAAAGTTTCTATGATGACAGTGGTGGGGTTGGGCCTACTATATATAATGTATCCTTTAATATGTATTCAGCTTTAATAGCTTACCATTGCATTAAGACTTTATATGTGTGTATGTATACATGTATTAGCAAACAGGAAAATACATCATGAGTGGGAGGGGACCAGATAATTACTATATACTGATTCTTCCACAATGTACATCTTATTGTGAAACAGAGACAGTTACTGAGGAAAGGGCATGAACCTAAGGGTTACCTAAAGGCTGCTTAGATCAGGTTGGCTTTGGCAGCTGGATAACATCTTCCTGGACACAGAAAGGTATTGTTGAGGTAATCAGAAGGAGGGAGAGAGAGAGAGAGAGACTGGAATCTATGCTGTTTTGCTTCAAGCCTCGTGAAAAGGACTTATTTTTAAAGAAGTACGTAAGCTAAATTGACTTCTCCATTTGATTTATGCAGCTTCCCCACACTTACCACCTACACCAATGAGGGATGCCCAATTATAATTCTTTGGAGACTGTAGTGTTCCAAGATTGGTAGCCATAAGCTATCCCCTTTGTTATTTTCCTCAAATTTCCTGGCACTCTTAGGGCCCTTTTGGTAGCTTTGATGGGTTTGAATGTATTACAAAGACTTTTGGTCCTGTTCATGTCATTTAAGCCTTACCTGAATGGACTCAACTACAAAAAAGAGTTGAAATCTCAGTGAAGATGGCTAAAGCAAAATATTTTAAGGATTTTCATATGGTTGTGCTTATGAAAGTCCTTGATCCTTCAGAAAAAGTCCTAGGAAAGAAAGAACCTATAGATTTAGACCTAACATAGACAAGAAAGCTCATGACCTGACTGATAGGCAGAGAACAGTAACTTCAGCTTCATCTGTAAGTTGCATATAATATGTTTTCATATGTCTTTGGAGGAGGGGAGGGGACAGGACTCAGGTTTTCTGATTTAGTTTAGTGTTCCATTCTGTATGCTATACTCTGAAACTCCATCTACTCCAAACCCCATCATTTTAGGGGTGACTAGAGAGGTAAAATAACTTCCTCAAGGATCACATAATTAGTGGGCAGCAGGACTGGGACTGAGTTCTGGGTCTCTGTATGCATGTCAGTATGAAGCTCTTTCTAGCATAATTTCTAGCACATAGTAGGTCCTTAACAAATGCTCACTGATTGATTTCTATTAATCGTGCTGCTCTACCTTCTTCCAGGACTGTAACCTTAATGACAATATGTTATTGCACATTCAACTTACACATGTTTTAAAAGCTTCAAATATTAGGTCTGGCTTCATTGCTCTACTGAGGACATGCCTATCAAAATTACAGGCACTCCATGGCACAATCTATGTGCATTCAAATGAACAAGTCTAAATTCCCTGGAATCAGTGAATTCAGCCCTCTTTTCCACCATGACCTTCTTACTGAAACTAAGCCTTGTTCTTTTCAGGGCTAACATCAAATACTTATGACCTGCATTGAAGATACACAAATGGAGATCTTGGGAAAACTTGAAAAGAATTCAGTGAACCCCCCAGGAAGAAACCAAAATATTTTTCTTGCTTTCTAGATAAGAAGAGATGTTTTTAAATAGGGAGTGTTTTACAACTGTGTCAAATTAGAAATTTATTGCTAAGTCATTTGGGGCTGAATTCTATTGACTTTTCCCATTTGAGGCACGGTTGGTGGTGGTAGCCAGTTTCATCGTGGGTCATTATGATAACCTGCTGGGAAGCCCAAAAGTTTCCCCTAATTTGTGTAGTCATTTACATATTGAGGTGTAGACAATCTCAGATTTAAAAAGCAAGCATATCCATCATCACCATGTTTGTCTACTTTAGTGCTTTTGAAGACCTGCCAAGGGGGAGAGAGAGGTTGATGTAGCCCACTCTTCACACACTCCCTGCCCAAATTCAGAGTACAGTTATTTTGAGCTGCTGAAGAATGCTGTGGATAGAGCTTCACAATATTGAAGGCAGAGGGAAGGAGGAGATATTTTTTCTATATTCCCCTTTTTTCTCTTCTTCTTTCTTTTCTGAGCCAAAGTCACAAAGAAATAAAAGAAAGAGGGAAAGGATTTATATGTACACATATATTTATAACTGCTCTTTTCTTGATACCCAAAGATCAGAAACTACAAGGTGTCCTCCTCCTGGGAAACTGATAAATAAATTGTTATATGAATATAATGGTATATCATTGGGCCATAAGAAATTATGAAAAGGAGAATTTTAGAGGAAAATTGGAAGGTCTTGGCAAATGCATGCAGAGCAAGGTGAGCAGAATTAGAACAGTCTCTACAATGACATCAGTATTATGCAGAAAAATAACTTTGCAAGACTTTAGAATTCTGATCAATGCAATGTTAAACCATGAATCCAAATGAAGGAAGACAAAATATGCCACTCACCTTGTCACAGAGAAGTGATTAACTTAAAATGCAGAAAGAGACATGCATTTGAAGACATGGCCAATGTAGGAATTTGTTTTGCTGGACAATGCAGCTATGTATTGAAGGCTTTGGGGTTTTGTTTTTTTTTTTTGCATTTACTCGATTGGGAGGGTTGTGGGAGGAACAGACTAACAATATTTGTTACTTGAAAACCCAAAATAATAAACTACTAACTAAATTACTAAATAAATAAACTACTAATTACTAAAGCTGTTCCTTATCCTATTCTCTTCCCATCATAAGACAGCATCTGGTGAGAAAAGGAATGGTAAAAAGTGGTCTTATCTTCTCATGCACTAGCAATCTTGCAGGAAAAACACACCGTGTTCCTTTCACTTTTCTCCCCCAAGAGGAAATGAAACTAAATTGTTAATTAATTTAGGAAGCTTTTGTGAATTACTGTTGCCTTGCCAAAATTCATCACCCAAGTGTTCAACCATTTTTGCACCAAGCTGGCTTGTCTCCTGGTGCCCAGATATTTAGTTTGTTGCCAGCTCCATAGGGATTGAGATACGGACTGGACATGAGATTTAATTTTAGAGGGCACTCCCAGGCACCTTCTCTGCAACTTACAGTTATAGAATGCAATTAAAAAGTACATGCTTTAGAGCATGTGGGCTGCACATGGCCCATTACACTCCTGAGTGTGGATTCAGATTAAAATATAATTGAGAAATATTTATGACAATAAAAATATAATAAAATACATATAGTTTTCTTTTTTTCAAGGCAATCAGAGTTAAGTGACTTGCCCAGCTAGTAAGTGTCTGAGGCTGGATTTGAGCTCAGGTCCTCTTGACCAGGGCTGGTGCTCTATCTACTGCACCATTTAGTACTTTACTGCTCAATGGTAGTTTTCTAAGTCAACATATGGCCTGAAGAAATCCTTATGTGTGGTTTAGTGGCCCCATTTCTATTTGAATTTGATACCAGTGGCTTAGAACACAGAAGTTAAGTGACTTGCCTAAGTAAATCATATTTCTGGGCTTCAGTTTCCTCATCTCTGAAAAGATATCCTCTAAAAATCCCTTTTAGCTACAAATCTGTTGTCCTAATGTACCTGGGTTTGTTTCCTAGGAAGTTTTTTTCCCTAAAGTGACTTCTCAAGCTTTGTGGGTAAAAAACAAAACAAAACCAAAAACTGCTATCGCATTTCTTCATTTGAAAAATGTGGGGATTGGGTGATATGATCTTTTATTTTCTGTGTGTTCCAATATTCTAAGATTCTGACCTAGTAATTAATGGCTAGGTGGACTGATTTATTTCAGGTACCCAAACACTCCAATTCCCGAAACTTCAGAAAGAGGACTTATTAATTAAGGCTGTTTCTTGAGTATGCAGCAGGGTCATCTCTCTTGGAAAGAATGCAAATGATTCTTGCTTATGATTATCATCACCATCATTAATTAATATTATTATCATTATTTATTTAAAGATGCAAAATGAGACCGAAAGAACAACTTACATTCTTTGGTGTTTGGAGGTGCCAGTAAGCAGGAGTAGCAAACCATTCCATAGATATTCCTTGGTCTGTTTTCCAGCATGTAATAACTGCACCAAAGGACAAGACAAGACAAAACAAATAACGTAGGTGAGCGAGCATAGAGTCACGAGTAGCTAAGCAGTGACCAATTATGGTAAGAGATAAAATCACTGTGATTTAGCAGGCTCCTTATTGCCAATTTGATGACCCTATCAGTTTTGACTGATTATTTCCAGCTTTCATCTCCCCCAGCAGTCCCATGACAAAAGCAGTTAATCACACATACACACTGTGAATCAGGAATGTTGCTGAACTAACCACCTTCTGCCTAAGGAGTTTCAACTGGGGCTTTTTCGCTTTCCCTGAAACAGAATTTTTCCTTATGATCAGGACATATGCAATCTCCTCGAAGGGACTGGCTTTTTCAGATTTGTCTTTGAATCCCCAGCCCCCTAGCACAGTACTTGCCCATTTTTTTGGGGGGGGAACTAGATATGTGGTTTCACTGGTATAAGAATTCTTTTTACTTTCTCCAAAACAGAGTGGCACCTACTTTCTGGCTTAATGCAGTAGTCTTTGAGAGTAGCCTCAGGGCTCTGGGAGGTTGTGACATGCCCAGGTTTATGTAGCCAGTATGTGGCAGAATTGGACCAACAATATGTCTTCCTGATTCCAAGGCTGGCTCTCTACCCTCTACATAAAGCCGCAGTGCACATAGTAAGTGCTTAATAAATATTCTTTGAACTGAACTTCCTCCACCTATGAATGAATATCCTCTTTTTGAATTCTTTTTGCTGTTTGATTTGTTTGGCATTGTGTATGTAGATCTGATGGGCTAACCCTGTTTACCTCAGTTTCCTCATCTGTCAAATGAGCTGGAGAAGGATTTGGCAAACCACTCCAGTGTCTTTGCCAAGAAAATCCCAAATGGGGTCATGAAGACTCATGCATGACTGAAACGATTTAACAACAATGCAGCTCTGATTATCACCATCAATAATAAACATTTATTAAGTGGCTACTATGTTCAGGGCCCTTGGACTGAGTGTTGCTTCAGCTCCAACCTGTGAAGAACAGCCCTTTGGAAGAAAGATAATCCAGTTTATCTGGGCTGCCAATAATGGTGGCAGGAGTTAGAAAGGCAGCTGCTCAATTGCTTCATGTAGGTCTTTGGAGGTCCATTTTTTAAGGTAGCATGAAATCCAACCCAGCTGTAATCTAAATTCAGCCTTTTCCTCCTCAGAGGGCAGTTTCTAGTCTTAAACACCTATATAACTACAAAACTTTGACTGGAATGTGGAAAGGAGATGACATAGAACTCAATGATTTATCACAGTGTGAGGCTGAAATTTCTTGCATTCTTTATCCCAGAGTGGCATTTGCTCTGCTCTATCTCTGTGACTCACCAACTTTAGAAGACAGACCCAAGAATCAGAGTAAATGGCTAATGGATCATTTCATCTAGTACAAGTAATAGAGATCTCTGCCCCTGTTATTCCTGTTTCCTCTGTGGTGTTTAGTACACAATAAATGTTTAATAAATGCTTTTTCATTCATTCATTCATTCATTCTTTCCTTCTTTCCTTCATTCCTTCCTTCCTTCCTTCCTTCCTTCCTTCCTTCCTTCCTTCCTTCCTTCCTTCCTTCCTTCCTTGTGCCAGAGCAGGCAGTTCTCATCTTTTAGAGCCTGAATTTGTTACAACAGAGCTTCTCTAACCACTGGCTTTGGCTCCTGTCTCAGTGTGCACAAGTTTTCCAGAAACATAAACATTTAGCAGAAGATCATGAATGTTATTTATCACAATCTGAAAAGTATATTAAATAAAGAGAGTGAATGCCAGCATTTTCCTTTATTACAATTCAAGAGATGAAAAATCTTTCCCTGGTATTGGATTTTTCCATTGTTGTTGTTGAACACTTTCTTTTATTCCCCCCTTTTCCCTATTGGCTTTATAAAGAGACAGATATCCAGCTGACAGCAGTGATTACTGACAACTTGGTCTCCACAGTGGTGGTTGTATAGGAATTTAAACTCCAGACCTTAATACATTTGGAACATTACCAATAACATTATTATAATAATTGTTTTGCCTTTCTCCAATGGTTTTTTTAATCTTAGGATCCCTTTGTTTCTCATAAACATTAATTAATCAGTATGCAAAACATTTCTCTGATGACACACAGCTACCAGTCTTGGTATCTACATTTAACCCTTTCTGGAAAGAGACAGGCTAGGAGCCATTCTCCCTTTTCAAATACTCCTTCCCAAAGGAAAAGTGTCCATCTGTTTTTCTGTGAGGCAGGAAGAAGGACAGGCAAAATGATGATTTTCACACAGAATCACAGAATTTAGAATTGAAAGGCACTTCAGTGGCTACCCAGCCCAACCCATACCTGAAATGAAGCCTCACAATAACAAAGGTCTATGCAGATTCTGCTTGAAGACTAGATTGAGGGGAAACACACTATCTCCAGAAACGGCTCGTTCCACTTTGGGATAGTTCTGTTAGGAAGTTTTTCCCGGATATCAAGCCTAATTTTGCCTTTTTGCAACTTCTGCCCTCTGAGGCCCAAAAGAAAAAGTTAAATTTCCATTGCTCGTGTCAGCCCTTCAAATACATGAAGACAGCTACCAGGTCCTTCAGCTTATCTCTTTGTCAGGTCAACCATACCCAGTTCCTCCAACCAATCCATATATAAAAACATATTCAAGGCCCTTAATTACCTTGGTGAATTGTTTACTCTTTGTATTTGGAATAGGTCTCCCTGCTGGGAGCAATAAGTCTTACTCTGTATGAGAATGGCCATACTAGCTAAATTTTAAACTTCTTAAGAAGGGTATATGTCTGTATTAATCAACTACTGAATCATTGGGCTGAAGAAGGACCTCAAATGCCACACCTAAAAGCATCCTGGGCCTATGAGAATCCATGCTATTTAAAAATAACTCCCAGGAAGGATAGTCTATATTTCTTTTGCTTACATATGTCAGTGTTTAAGTATTTATTGTTGAGAATTCTCTACTATTTATATTTAACATGACTAGCATTTCCTCTATTCTTCTTGACCTGTTTTTGATGGAAATGGAAAACAGTTTGAAATGACGTTCTACATAGTAATCCACCAAAGAGTTTGACAGTTATTAATTAATGAGCCTAGTTATATTTTATTTATGCTAAATAATCTTAGATTCTGCAATTGTATAGTAGAAAGAGCTCTGGATTTAGGGTCAGAGAATCTAGGTTCAAATCTCAGCTCTGCTACTGACTCACCATATGACCACGGACAAGTCATTTACCCCTTTTTGAGTGTTAGTGTCCTCCTTTGTAAAATTAGGCAGTTGGACTAGATGATTTCTCAGGACCCTTCCAGATTTAAATCTGTAATCCTCTGAACCTCTCTGTATAGTCTAACTTCCAACTTGCTGGTCATATTTGGAATCTTCTTAGACATTCTCTAAGTTTTCTTTTTTTTTTTCTGGGGGTGGAGGGATTAAAAAAAATTTATTAAGCCTTTACTATGCACAAAGTACTGTGTTGGAGGATGGGAAGGGACGTGGGTCACCTGCATACAGCATAGTGGCTGGTGAAGAGATGGCTGGAGAGTGAAGTTAAACCTGAGGTCTACATGTAATGAGTGACTGAGGCAACCATCAAAGGTGGGATAAGTGGGGGAGCCAGAGCAGGATTCCAGGCATGAAAGGGTTAAGTCTTCCAGGACTTGGTGTATGGATCTGGTGACATGGCAGTGAAATTCCTTTCTAAGTTTCTTAATCTCTCTTAAGACATACAACCCAAAAACGGGCAGTTTAAATATGGCCCCTTGGCTGTCTTATTTACATGACCAATTTCCCTCATGCCAAAAAGGCACAGATTTCCTTTCCCTTGACACACTTGGTTGAAATATGACTTACAATAGGCACCCCTTGGGTCTTGCTACATCTTTCTAAGAATGTTGAACTATAGAAATGACCACTTGGGGCATTTCCATCCTTTGCATCATCCTCTATAGGTTCATTCAAGGGCAGAGGGTCAAGGCCTGTCAAATTAGCAAGCTGAGCATCTTTAGTACATAAGCAGATGCCTGAGAGGTAGTTTTGAAATATGACCTCTCCTTTTTTTTTAAAATTCTTTTCCTTTTTTTTTTTTTGTACTTTCAACCCCTGTTCCATTCCCTCAGTCCTTCTAAGTAGGAAAGCCCCATGTACTGGCTATTGTTCAAGAGAGTGCCACTGCCACATACTGATGCACAGCAAAGCATGTATGAATGAGGAAAGAGCCTTTTGCCAAACCACAATTAAGAAGGGAAGGCCAAAGATACTTGTGGAGTTATAAAGATAAATAAAAGGTAATATGGATCCACAGCCTAATGGCCACAGTGGATTGAGGAAAGATAAACAGCCTTTCATAAATCTAATTAAACTAATCTGCCCAATTCTTTTTTTTCAATTCTTCCCAGTAAAATGCCATGGAAGATTAAGTTTTGTTCTCCCAAGTCAGAGTGTAAAATAAGGAAGTGGGACGGCCCATCAGCATTCAGTTTAACCAGCACTGATTAAGAGCCTACAATGAGGAAGGCACCATGCTAGGCACTAGGAATACTGATAAAAATGAGAAATGGTCCTTCACCTCAGGGAGCTTTCTTGGATCAGACATTGACCAAAGATTTAATTTCAGAAGGGAAAGGAAGGGAAGGGAGGTAGTTATTTATAATATACCTTACATTTAAAAGAACAGCTTAGGGTATGTATTGGAAGACATAAAGACATAAGACATAAAACTTAGTTGTGAGGAAGAAGCTGGAACTCAAGGACATTGTTTTAGGTTTGAGTAGCCATGGGGTTGGTTGGGTTTATTTTAAATAGCAGTATCTTGGCTCAGAGCTAACCTGGAAACTGATTCTATGCTTTCTCTCCTCCCCCCACTCCCATTTCCTGCAAGAGAAAAGGATGTAATCTTCTGGAGGAGATGAAAGGGGATGGGAGGGGTTGACCTTGACGAAGAAAAGGACTTGTCAGAGGTTGAGGGAAATGAGGAGAGAGTGAGATGATAGCAATGGGTTTTGAGATGAAGAGAATGGGAGAAGAGGGAGCTCATATTAAAGGGCCACTATTTTATTGGGTCTACTTCTGCTGGTATGGACACTTCTCCCACTGATATAGATAGCAGCCCTTTGTCTTTACATCCTCTGTAATTCTTGGCCATATTTTCCCATAATCCTCCATAAAGAATCTACTCAATATGCTGAAAGCCTTCCTCTTGCTCTTCTTAAGTGGGGGCATTCCAAAATAAGACTCAGTTTGTCCAAATAATTTCTCTCTTACTATGACATAATTCCTTTTCCTTGTCCTAAGTAATATATTTTTTCTCCTTCCAAGGTGCAAACTGCTTCTAGAAATGGGTAGCAGCCTGCCCATACCTATTGCCTGTGGAGTTTCTTTCTATTACTCTTAATTATTTAGTTCTTTTTTTTTTGTCTTTTTTGTCTTTTTTGGTGAGGCAATTGGGGTTAAGTGAGTTGCCCAGGGTCACACAGCTAGTAAGTGTCATGTGTCTGACGTCACATTTAAACTCAGGTCCTTCTGACTCCAGGACTGGTGCTTTATCCACTGTGCCACCTAGCTGCCCCTTTAAAGTTAATTCTTCTGAGCCCTTGGTGCTTCATGATTTCAGCCACATAAAACTTGTCTAGAAACCGCTAGATTAACCTATGTCAGTATGAAGTTTACAGCTCTCCTTATATCCTCATTGTACCATCGTCATTGTCTGGCTGCTCCGGAGAGCAGAATTTCATGCTGGTAAAACAACCAGATAAACGGATTGATACGATGGTCAGCATCTGGATAAATAATGTCTGAGCGAAAATGTGTTTGTTGGGTGCTGTGCACACCTGGTTTATAGGGAAAACTACCGGAACAGTGCCTCTGTCTAGTTCTTATTCTTTCTAATTTTCAGCCTTGGAGAGGGGGAAGAGGGCTGTCAAACTCATAAAGGGAAGTCTTCTACATATATAGGTTATGGTTAATAATAGATTAATAATAGGTTAATAATAACCCACACAGGTTATTATTTTCTTTCATGTGCCCAGTTGTGGCATACAGGCTCTTACTACAGTGTGTATAGAAGTAGATGTGGGGCTTAGAGCCCTAAGCAAATAGCTCCTAACACCACAGGATTGATTCTTGCATAGTTTCATCTGTCCCAACATTGATAATGCCAGACCTGGATTTGTAATCTTACTAAGACTTAATTTCTGTCTCTCAACTTCATGATTATTGATTTGCTTTTCACCTCTTTGTTAACAACTCTGGTCTTTGTAGATCTCATAGGATCATAGTTTTAGACCTTAGAGGCCAGCAAGTTCTACCCCCTTCCCTTCATTTTATTCTTTTTTCTTTTTGGGCAATTAGGGTTAAATGACTTGCCCAGGATCACACAGCTAGTATATGTCAAGTGTTTGGTCTGAGGCCGGATTTGAACTCAGGTCCTCCTGACTTTAGGGCTGGTGCTCTATCCACTGCGCCACCTACCTGCCCCCCCTTCCCTTCATTTCACAGATGAAGAAACTGGCACAGAAAGGTTAAGGGATTTGTCTGGGGTTATATAGCTAGCCAGTGTCTGAGGCAGGATTTGAACCCAAGCATTCCCTGACTCCAAGTCCAGTGTTCTATCCACTGCTCCACACTGCATTTCTGGCTTTTATTTTTAGTAATGGGCCTCTTCCTTTTTCTGTTGGCATAGATGTAATTAACTCATGCCAGTAAAGGCAATGGAAACAATATTCAAAGAAACATCTTGGGAGAAAATATACACACATTTTTTACGAATTAGAATAAAGTTTAATCATCTGCTCTGAGGATTCCATTCTACTGCTCTCCTTCAATTTCTTCCCATATTCTTATGAGGACATTATTATATCAACGTGGCTTTTGTTGTTATCACACATGCTACACGCTTGTTTTAATTTTTCCAGACACCTCCGCTCCTAAATAGATTTTTTTAAAGATTGGTTCTCCCTTATCTTGACCAGGCTGGAAATGTAGGGCCTACTCATGGGCCAGACCCCTTTATTGATTAGTACAGAACTTTGGCCTGCTCTGTTTCTGACCTGGGCTGTTTGGCTCTTCCTTAGTCAAATTGGTGGTTCCCTGCTCCCACGGGCTCACCATATCAATGTCAAATTTGCTGCAGACACCCTACTGGCATAGCCTACTGCAGCTCAGAACTTCCAAGCTGAAGAGATTTGCCAACCTTGGCTTGCCTGGTAGTTTTAATTACAGGTGTGTGCCACCATGCCTGGCTTTTTCCAGTTTTTAAAAACCGGATGGAGTAGAGACCTTCTGCATCTCGGAAACAAAGCCAGACTAGGGCTATTTTCTATGTTTTAACATGCAGTAGGCACTCCATAAATGTTTGTGAGTTGAATAGAATGGAACTGAATTGAATTAATGAGAGGGCCTATGTTATTTTCCTTTTTTTTTAAATTTTTATTTTTTAGGCAATTGGGGTCCTATGTTCTTTTTCTTATAGAACTTGTCACTTGCGAAAGGTTATAGTCCAAAGTTATGGTACAATTTTATTCCACTCATTCCCTCTTCTCTATTCCAATCTTCCTCTCCTCTGCCACCACTGAAGTACCAAACTGTGCTCCTCATTTCTAAGTGTAAGCACCACATACATAGCAGGATTATTATATATCAGGCCACTAGAGGGTGCTAGCAACAACATCCATAGTAGAAACAATCTTTTCAGGCTGCTGCTATAAAAGGTCAGGATTTGACATCTTCATTTTTTTTTTCTTGAAGAGATGACTTTTCAAGATCATGTTTCAACACCTTTCCCTCCAAAGCCTTGTGATGTAGTGAATTATCGTGGAGTTAAAGCCTTTGCTTTATTTTCAGTAGCCCTCTGAACATTTCAGGATACATGATCTGGAACTATTAAGGGACCTTAGGGGTGATTTAGTTCAATTTCCTCATTTTTGCACGTGAGGAAATTGAGGCCTGGAGAGGTTAAGTGATAAGCATAAGTAGTAGGACTTGAAGCTAGGTCTTTAAACTCCAGAGTCAGAGTTTTCACCACTGCCTTCTATAAAATATGAATAATAATGCCTTGAATTCATATAATGATTTTAATTTTACAAAGCATTTCCTCTCCCTCCCCCTCCCCCATTTAGTTCTCATGACATTTCTCTGAAGGGTTCAGGGCAGGTAGCATTAGGTGAGTTTTACAGATGAGGAAACACAGACACAGAATGGTTGTTACTTGCCTACTGTTACATAGCTAGATTGTAGCAGTCATCCCTACTAGAATTCATATTTCCTGAATCCAGGATTGGGCTGTTAAGAGTAGAACTACCTCTCATATAATACTCTAAATGACTGAATTACCCATTATAAAACATTTAAAATTGCATTTTCGTCAAGGAAAGTCTACAGGTGCCTCATCTCATTTTGGAGTGTTTCTCTTATACAGAATTCTAGCTTTTCTCTAGAAAAGGAAAGGAGAGACAATAACATTTAGTCCTTACCCAGGGAGACACGGCCCACATTCTGCATCATTCTCCATGTCACCCGGAGTCAAGACAGTGGCTCGAAAGAAGCCTTCACAGTCCCTGTGACGCCTGCATATCTGGTAGCCTCCTTTGGAGAACTTCTCCGAGGGGCAGGGGACACAGCCATAGTCATCATCTTTGGTGCCATAGCCGCAGGTCTGTAACAAAAAGAAAATCCAGGAAGTCCTCAAAGTACAGTGCTTCTACTTACAATAGCACCAAGAAGGCCCTACTGCTTGCCCCCTCCTTCTGGCATCAACAGCAGGCTGCATACACCCTATCCGTTAGTCTGCTTGCTGCCATGCTCTGGGGCATGAACCCTCGGGTTCTGCATCTCATGCAACCTTCCTTCCTTTGGCCTAGCTAGTAGTTCATGAATCTCTCCAGCTTCTGGCCTTAGCCACAGTCCCCCTAAAGAGTCCCAGAGGTCCCTCTGGCTCCCAATTTCTGGGGCAAGTTCTTTTGCTTGAGTCTCAAATAAAAAGTTAAATAAAATATATGTGATTTGTTAGTTTATTGCTCTACTTAAGAGATTTACATACACGTAGGAAAATGTCTTTCACAGGTGTGGGTTTTTTGTTTGTACCTGTGATTTCATTAGTATAGGGCACTTCTAAGGTGTAAACTCCCTCTACCAATGAAGGTGGGCAATTGCCTCATACCTTATACACTTGGAGAGCTATTTGTGGCACTGAGAGGGATGTGCCCTTGGTGGTTCCACAGACAATATGTGCTAGAGACAGGACTAGAACCCACATCTTCCTGACCTCAAGGCTGACTCTCTTTCCACTATGTCATAATACCTGTCACTGCTATATAATTTTTAGCTAAATAAATTGGTGTTTTCTTGTTTATTTCTATAAAAAATTTAGACATGAATATAAGCCCATTTATAATTTTTTTTGTATAGGAAATATCAGGTTGTATTTTAAAATTTAAATCCCTTTTCCCATAAACATTAGTAAGTTTGAAGCCTTTCTCTAAGCTTTTTTGTTTGTTTATTTGTTTGTTTGTTTTTGGCAAAGTGAAGGAGGGGAGCAATGGGAGAAAAAGCTGAATTAAACCTGCATAATCTGGTTAACTTTATCACTGAATCTCTGGGATTCCCATGCTTTTGCTTATAGTTGTTCCATTTATTTATTTATTATGAATAGCATTAACAATAACAATAACTAGCATTTAAATAGAGCTCTAAGGTTTTCAAATGTCATCCCATTTAATCCTTACAACAACCCTGTGAGTGCAAGAACCATGTGGTGCTAATATCATCATCTATGTCTTACAAAATTTTACTATTTTCAGTCCACAATACAAGTGAGGCCCACTTTAGCCCCTGAGGTATGCTGGGCCCTGGCTTGTCCCTATGAATAGGGTTAACAGGTTGTTTCTCTAAGTTCACCATTGGCAGCTGCCATATTTGGCTTGGCTATGGGACACTGATGTGGGTTGTTAGTTGCGCTCTCTCTTCATCACTGCTTGGCACTCTATTCCTCATAATGCCAGATAATGTGACTTCTCAAGAGCCAAATAATTAGTCTTTTGGCTCAGCCAGCCTGCATCCACCCAAGTATGGTCAAGGAGCAAATCTGAGCTCTACTGTAAGTACCAAACACTGATACGGATAGTTGTATATATGGGGAGAGAGGGAGGGAAACTGGAAGGGGAAAAAAGTAATGATTATTAGTAAAGTTGGGTACTGGCACCTGACTTTTGGCATTTGCCTATGAAGGAAAGTAAGCTGGTACGATGGAAAGAGGACTAGCCGTAGAGTCAGAGGACTAGGGTTCAAATCCTATCTCTGCCCTAAATCTTATGCTGCTCTAAGTCTTGTCATTTACAACTTGTGTGAACAAGGGTAAGTCACCTAAACCTCTCTGGGCATCAGTTTCCTCAGCTGTAAAATGAGAGGGAGGCTTGGACTAATTTCTCTGGCTGTCCCCATGCCTGGAACATTCTCCCTCTTCCTCTCTGCTCAGTGGCTTTTTAAAATACTGACTAAAATCCCATCTTTTATAGGAAATCTTGCTCTCTTAAATCTAGCACCTTCTTTCTGTTAGCTATTTCCCATTTATTCTTTATATAGCTTGTTTGTAAATATTTGTTTGCTTATCATTTTCCCCATTAGATTGTGAGGTCTGGGACTTTCTTTTGCTTTTTCTTACAAAAAAAAAAAAGAATGCACAGTGTATACACAAAAAATATAGTGCCTGGCACATAGTAGGTGCTTAATAAATGTTTATTGACTTAATGACCTTGGAGGTCATTGATTGACTTAATGATATTGGATGACCTTGGAGGTCCCTTTAGCTCTTAATCTATCATTCTATGACACGGACCTTTGAAAGGTTTTCTTTGTTTCTTTTGGTTTTCTAGGAATTTAAAGTTTCTAACAGGGTTACATGTTGTAGACTTTCCACCCAAAGAAAACAGATGTAGAACCTACAATTAGATATCCTTTTTTAATGAATTCCTGTTATACTTGGTGAAGATTACTTGAAATATGTTTAATCAAGCTGGAAGAAGATGTCAATGGTCCTCATCCTACTAAGTGTAGGGTGTATCACAGGAGATTATGCTATCCAATCTCAATGTTTAGTCATTGAGGAAGGTCAACTATATCCAAGCCATGTGAATATGAAGCAGAGATCCAGCCATGTTTTGGAATCTTTACATCAAGTTAACACATTGTTCCTCCCATCACCCTTGGACGTGGTATTTCGTGTTCACCCAGAAGTGATCTAGTCTGCTAGTCTGCTTTGGGAAACAACCTGGTTAAAGTGATGAATTTAGGACTTACCATATATGGTTCTTCTCCAGGCTCACACTGGGGGCAGTCATGGCACAGCCCTGTGGTCTGGTTGTAATACTCATTCTCTCCACAGTTTGAATACTCAGCTCTGGCTGGGTACATCAGAGACACCTGTCACCAAGAATAGGAATCCACATTGGCCTCCCTTGACTCATTTTAAACACTGGATGTTTGCCCAATGATAAGTGCTTAGAGAGCTAAGATTTCCTTTTAGAAGGGGAGCAGTCTTTAAGTATTTCATAGCTTCTATTGTGATGGTAGGGGAGGGAGGAGGGGGTGGGGTGGAATGTATAAGTATTTTTGTATTTGTAAGGGACCCATTCAGTGGAGTATTTATTCAGTTTATGAGCTCACTTTCATAATTTTTCTTCTGACATGGTTATCACTAAGGGGTCTTAGTCACTTTTTGTTGTGGAACAGTTTGTTTCCTAATGACTTTGGACCAGTTCATATAGGTACATAATAACAACGGCAACAATAACGATAATAATAGTAATGATGATGAGGATGGGCATTAAGGTTTACAAAACCATTCATGTATATTATATCACTTGATCATTATATATGATTGATCATTATATCATTTGATCCAATAAATATTTATTGAATTGAATTATCTACAAAAGGTGGCTATCCACTCAATGGAAAGAAATCTGGATTTTAGTCTAAGGACCTGGATTCAAGTTCTAGCTTGGCTATATATTACCTGTATGACTTTTGGGCAAATCACTTACGTTTTTGGGGTCTCAGTTTCCTCATCTGTAAACTTAGAAGATGAAACTAGATTGGGGGAGGGGAAACTAAGGTCCCTTCCAGCTCCAAAGTCATGATTAGATGAAATAACAGTGCTTTTAACAAAGGGAATTCTCAGTAATAACTTGATTGTGATTTTTTTTCTTTCTGTGAAATTAAGAACATTTTTCCCTACTACTTTTTTATTTTTCCCTTACTCTCTCCCTTGCAGAATTTTTTTTTCTGGTTGGTCCTTTTTGGTAAGCTTAGATAATATGTTAGGACAAATGCACATATACACACAAGGTATAAACACACAGTTTTAGGCACATGCCTGCATATTAGCTAGACTAACATTTATTAACTTTGTAGTTATAAGGGTGCTTCTTCCCTTTGTATGTATAAATGGTGGAGCCCAATGACCAGCTCTAGCCTTACCCATCCTGTGAGTTACTTTGATATACAGCTATTTGATGGGAAATTCCCACCTTGGCTTCTTCCTGTGCCCTAGCCTCCACCCCAACATGGCCTATTTATGTGAATGCTAGCCTGTAGCCTAGGCACTCACAGCAAAACAGGCCACGTCTAGGTAGCCATACACCCTATGTATGCATACACATGTGAAAGGATGATTTACCCACCTCTCATACCAACTGATTCTTGCACATTTGGTAGTTTGGGATGGGTGGAGAAAAAGGCTAAAATCTAAAGACTCATAAGACTTATTTACAATCAGTCTTCTCTGCACCAAATATGAAGTTATTTAAAGTGAGCAGAGGAAGGAGTGAATTGAAATAGTCAAGAAGAAATCTAATCTTAGAGATGAGACATACTTACCACCAGAAAGGGAAGGAAATGGGTCCATTTATAGTCCCTCACATGGGCCATATTTTCTGAGATATTCACCTGAAAAGACATGATTCATTAACACAATGTAGTGGAGGCACAAACACAAAATTGTTAGAAGCCCCCCTTTGCCAGGACACTTTGCCCCTGTTTTAAATACAAAGCTCAATGTTTTTCTTCAGGAACTAACTTTGTTCCGCCTGGAGATATGCCTAGCACAGTACCTTTGGACAGAGTAGAGTCTTGATAAATATTTGTTGAATGAATGAATGAATAAATGAATGCTCTCTCCTCCTGCCAACCTGGTGAACAAGACTGCCTTTAAGAAAAATGTAGGTTACTATAATGTATGGCCCATGAAGCTATTATGTCGCCTTAACTAAACAGAAGGATAAACAATGCACATCAAAAAAGAAAAGCTGTATTCAAACTAAATCCTGTTCCCTCCTACCTTGGGGCTGATTCTGTGGCCCTAACCCAGCAGTGCACCCACTCATGGCAGTAAATCCCAGAGGAAAAAAAAAAAGAACCTTGGAGAACACTGAAGAATCTATTATAAAAACTTATGGTTAGTGACTAATTGTTTAATATGTGGAATGGGCTTTGAAAACTTCAGGTCTTTTCATAAGCACTAAACATTTGCTGCTCCATTAGGCCCCATCCTGGCCTCTGGGCCCCTCAGCAAGGTGAGGCTCTGACACAATACCCAGGATGAGAACTTCACCCACTACCACTGCTCACCTCCATTATGGTTACAGCAACAGAAGAGATCTGGCCTAACGTCTATGTTTCATAAAATGTTAAAGATTTGGAAGAGACTTTGGAGTTCACCTAGTCTAACCCCTTGGATTCCCTCTCTAAACTTCTATGTGTCATGTCTGTGATCCTTTTCTCTAAAAGAGGCTGCCCATTGTCACTCATGGTTCAATAAAGCATCCGAAACACAAGGCTCTCAATTCTTGGTTTTCACAAGTCAATCACCACTAAAACATAAGCAGAACTTTAAAAGGACATTTTTCCTTTAGCTTGGAATAAGAACTGATGATGATTGAGTAGGCAGAGATTACAGCTGCTAAGGAAGGTCACCCTCCCTGCCCTCCCCTCAATAGCTCCTGGGATAAAGGAGATCACATTTACAAGTATAGATGGGCAGTTGAGGCATTGCTCCAGGGGTTTCACAAATTAAACATCCTGGCTGTGATATGTGGCTGTGACATTTGATCCTAGCAATCACAATGATGGTTCTATGATATATCTTGTAAAGAGTTCCAGATTCTTCTAGAGCAGGAGTTTTTAGCCTTATTATGCCATGAAACCCTTCTTGCAGTAATGTTTTTAAATGCATAAAATAAAATACATAAAAAGATCAGTAAAAATTAAAGATGTATTTCTTTTTTTTTCCCATCCAAGCTCACAGACCTCCTCACAGAAATCTGTCTATAGACCTCTTGGAAGGGTGGTCCATGAACCCCAGGTTAAAAGTCCTTATCTTAAAACCTCCCAGAAAGATTCTAATTATTGGTTGCTGTTCCTTTCTAGAGCACAGTCTGAACGCTATTAAATTAACTTAGAGAGCCCCAAAGTTTACATTTCTAAACACTAAATAGATTGAGACAAGATTAAAGCACCCTGCCACCCCAGCAGTGAACTCACTGTATGTTTGCCTTCCAGCAATGGAGCAGGTCAGGGCAGGAAGCTCAGGGGAAAGGCTAGAGTGGTGTAGTACCTTCAGTTCTTTAGGAAATGACTCCTGGAGGTGGAGGGGAGTGGAACAGTTAGGGGTGGGGTGAAGGCAGTGAAGGGGTGGGGAAGGGGAGAGTGGGAGAGAGGAAAGCAGGAGCAATAGCAAAAAGAGAACCCAGTGGAAAGGGGCAGAATCCCTCCTCTCTCAGAATAGGCACTCCCTAAATGTTCCTTTCCCTCAATGACCTAGTAGATAGCTCATTTGAGTTTCTATTGAGCTGGTACAAGAGGTGGAGAGGCTCCCCCTCAGAGAGCCCAAGTGTGCTGGAGGCCTTCCAAACATAATATGAATGGCTTCTAATTTAATTGACTTCTAATTATAGCAGGGCCTTGGAGAGGCTCCCTATAAATACTGTTGAGGGCTGTGCCTGCCTCAATTTGGTATAAGCCAGAAACATTTCTCCAGAGGCTTGAGAAACAGGCTCTGAGGCTACTTGAGGTAGGCTTGAGGCCACTGTCCACCTTGCTACTTTTAAATAATAATAATAATGATAGGTAAAATGTATATGTCACTTTAAAGTTTGCAAAATGCTCTAAATGTGATGTCATTTGATTCTCACAAGAAGTAGGGGTAGGCACTGTTTCCCCTCCCGAAGTATCCCTAGATGAAGAAGTAGAGGTTGAAAAAGTGGTTAACTGACTTATCTGTGTACACTCACCTCGCAAACGTCAGGAGGGAGGATGCAAACCCAGGTTTTACTTGCTGAGTGCATTGCTTTATTCACTATGACAGAAAGAGTGAGAGAGAGAGAGAGAGAGAGAGAGAGAGAGAGAAAGAGAGAGAGAGAGAGAGAGACAGACAGACAGACAGACAGAGACAGAGACATAGAAACAGAGACAGACAGAGAGATAGAGAGAGGGAAGGAGAAAAAGAGAGGGAGAGAGAGACAGAGAGACAGAAACAGACAGAGACAGAAGGAGAAAAAGAGAGTAGTCGCTTTGATGTCATTCCTATGAAAGGGAGAGGATGAAGGGGATATAGCATATTTCTCTAGTTTGGATTCCATTTCTGAAACCAGACTTGCCTTAGCAAAAGGAAATGTTGCCTTGAGAACTTCAGTGGAGAAGGTGGAATGGGAAAATCTTTTGGCTTTCCACTTAGAGGAGCTCAAGCCGGTCAGGAACCAGTCCTAAGAGTTGCCTTCTGCTTTGGCATCCTGTCTGTTTTGATTATGAGAATTTGATATGAAATGGTCACAGATCACTTTTCCAATATAATGGGCTCAGACATTAAAATCCTCCCCTATCTTTTGCCATAGAGAAGGAACTTTTTGCTTTCCAGTTTACAAGGTAATTCTGCAAATAGTTCCAGAGGTCCAGTGGGTGGTACTGGATTTTCTCACCTCACTCTAATCTTGTTTACTCAATTTGTGGCATTATCCAGCTACAATTCATTCATTCATCAATTCATTTATTCACTCATCCATTTACTCAACCATGATAGATTAAGCAATGATGTGAAAAGCACTTTTTGTTGTTTAGTCACTTTCAGTCTTGTGTGAATCTTCATGACTCCTTTGGGGGTTTTCTTTGACAAAGGTACTAGAGTGGTTTGCCATTTCCTTCTCCAGCTCATTTTATAGATGAAGAAACTGAGACAAACAGGGTTAAATGACTTGCCCAGGGTCACACAGATAGTAAGTGTCTGAGGCCAGATTTGAACTGTAGGAGATGAGTCTTCCTAACCCCAGCCTGGCACTCTATCCACTGCATCACTTAGCCACCCAAAAAAGCACTTAGCTCAGCTTTTTCCATTTTTTAAAACTTTATTAACAATTTTGATAAAAGGACTGTGAAAGTGGGAGGCAATATATTGTGAGAGTTGGCTAAAATGTTGTTTTAGTGAATTTTCTTGGATAAGTGACTTGCCCAGAAAGAATGAGCTAGTAGCATCAGAATCAAGACTTGAACTCAGGTATTTGGGACTCCAAGGCCAATCTTTTACGCTATGCTGACTCTTGCTCTTTAAATGTTTGCCTTGGCTTCCCTTCTCTCTCTGTTTCTTCTTTTTCTGTTTATCCTCTTTCATGAGCTCCAATGGATTTAACTACCATCTCCTGGACATCTCCACAAAAGCCTTAGACCCAACATATCTGACATAAAACTCATCATCTTTCTATTAAACCCACCCCTCCTCTTTAACTTCCCTATAATTATCAAGGGAATCTCATTCTTCCAGTCACCTGAGTTTATAACCTAGGAGTGATCTTTAACTCTTCCCTCTCACTCACCCCTCCCATCCTACATCCAAGTCTTGTACATTCTACCTCCTCAACATCTCTCACATTCATCCCTTTCTCTCTATTTATACTGTACCCAATCCTAGTCTGGTCCCTCATCACCTCTTTCTTGGACTATTGCAATAGCCTCCTAAATGATCTCCCCGACTCCAGTATCTTTCCTCAGCATAGCGTCCTTCATCCTCCATGTAGCATCTACAATGATAATCCTAAAACACAGGTCTGACCCTATCTCTTTGGTGATCAAGAAACTCCAGTGGCTCCCCATCAACTTTAGGCTCTAGAGTTTTCTTCACAATTAACAGAATCTTCACAAAATACAAGCTCTGGAGTTTTCTTCACTATTAGGTCAATTATACATATTCCCCCCCCCCACCACCATGTACACTGCCAAACTGCCCTTCCTTTTGTCTCCCATATGTCCCATTCCCTGCCTCTGTCCCTCTTGCCTGAGATGCTCTCTCTCCTTCCCGTTGCCTCTTGGGGTTTCTTGTTCCCTTCAAGATTCCACTCAAGGGCCACTTCCTTCAAAAGACCTTTTCTAAGTCCCCTAGTTCTTAGTGATACTCTCCCCAGTTGTATGCTGGAACCAGTTCCTAAGTGTTCTCAAGAGCCCACTGTTAAATTTTCATTATGAGCATTTGCACCTCAGAAATCTACACTGAAAATCAGGGCTTGATTTATTATTTTGTTGATTGTCCAGATTTAAGAAAGCAGTGGAGAAAATGTTAACAGTTAAAAGTGTATCTTGGGAGAGCCCATTTTTGAATGTTTACCAGCATATCACTACCCTCTTATCCATTTTGGTACAGATCCTGCACTGTTTTATCTGTCAGCATATCATATCTCCCTCACAGAGGACAAGCTCCTTCAAATCAGTAACTGTCTCTCTTTTGTATTTGTAAACTCAATGCTTAGTACAGTACCTGGCCCAATGTAGATGCTTCCTTAACAGGTGCTTGGGAATTTAATTTAAATCCCCAGGTTGGGGATTTAGATCTACTTACCTGTCTGTCCGTCCATCTGTCCATCCATCCATCCAACCATCCATCCATCCATCCATCCATCCATCTGTCC